AGTGTTCCAACAGAGGACCATTTTTAACTGTGATAAATTTCAAAACCACTACAGTCATATTGAAATAGCATCCTGTTTTATTTTTTTTTTTCTCTCTCCCTCTGTGATTGCATCTCTTTGAGGCACAATGTCTGAACTACAATACTATACATTAAATTGGCAGACAGGACCTTCAGAGCATTTGCATCTGAGTCTAAAGTATATACATCAAAGCTGAACAGTCCAAAGAAACTCTTTTTCCAGACAACTTGTTTACTTATTTACTTACAGATTAATGACTTTTAGATTCCAAAATCGTGTTTTAGTACACGTATAAATGTTGCGAAGATGGTCTCCGACATCCAAAAAGGTTTTACATTTGTTTTCACTTAATTCATTTTAGAAAAAAACAAGCAACAGTACTACGAGAATGTAGAACTCTGTAGAAAATCAGAGAGCATATTCATGCAGAACATTTCGTATTCAGTTGAGTGTAAAAGTCCCCAATGTGTTTTGAATATGAAAAGGGAGATAACTGTGCCACTCTTTTATCTGATTATGTACGTACAACATGGCAGACTCAGAAACAGATCCTCTGATGATAATGCAGGTGCAGAGAATTTAATAAAACACAGTGCAAGTGCAGTTCAAAATATAATCCAGAAATCAGGGTCAAGAAACAGGAAGAGGTCAAAACACAAAATCTGACCAGTATCAAAGCCTGAGGGTTATAGTACAATAAATAAGTCCAATTAATGAAGCAACGGTCAAGGCACATCAAGCTCAGAACTTAAAACACACACAATCAACTTCACACTCAATCAGTGTCCTTTTATCGTTTATATAGTGTACAACCAGGAAGTGACGAGGCAGTGAGAGGGCAGAGGTCGTGCTGGAATTCGAGTGAGTGCAACCTCTGCCGAAGGGGTGGGGAAATGTCCCTAATGACACTTTGCGCAACGAGGATGCTTTCCGTCAATCAGTGAAAATGGCGCAGTACCAAACCGGTGATTCGCTGATGTTTCTGAATTCTCAGTGTTTTATTATTTTTTTTCTCCCTTTGCTCTCATGTTGCAAGAAGGTAACGTGAAAGGTCTCAGAGAAGCGAGTACTTTAATGCATATGCAAAATAAAAAACATGAATTTCATTATTTCTCAATGTATGTACATATTTTATATAATTATTTCTTAATATATTTCTTATTTTATTACATTTTGAGCACTTTCGTCCTCCATAGGAGCTCTCATGTATGTGAACGATAAAAAAGGTGAAGCTTCAATATTTTCAGCGAATCAAGGTTTTTGTTCCATCTTTACAAACTGAAAAGCAGAGCTACACATTGAGCTTTTCAGTCAGGGAAGATGCACACTGATGACATCCATGGCAGAAGCACCACTTTGGTTAAAAACAAAGGGCGATAATACAATAACATGTCCTAGACACCTTTGGAGAACTTCAAGCCATGAAGATTTTTGCGAATAACAAGTCAATACTCTTGACAGTACACTGCTTGGCCAAGTACAGAGAGTCTTAAATCCTGTAGACAGAGTGAATACTTTTTACGTGGTTGTCTTGTTGAAGGTTACTTTGACTAATACTGTATGTTTGAGCTCAGAGATCCCTAGTACGAATACCACAAGTATCTATTCATTTTTTGTTGTTTTATCTACTGCAACACTCTTGAATGTATTATGCAGAATGCATTACACAGATCCGTATTTGCCGACTTTCTGACAAAATGCATTCAGTGCGCTGAACAGGGCGGAAGCTTTCACCCACAGGCATAGATGTGAAGAGGAATGGAGAGGAAATAATGCGATAGATAGATAGATAGATAGATAGATAGATAGATAGATAGATAGATAGATAGATAGATAGATAGATGTTTCAGCCTTTGTGGGTGCCTCATTGGTCTACAAATTTGGTAAGACCTATCTAAACATAGCATTAGTTCATCTTTTTTGTGCACAGAAAGATTTATGGACAACCAATCTAATTTTAAAGTCACAAAGAAGGCTTGTATGAGAAGAAAGCTTTTTACTTTACAACTCCAGAATAATGACCCAAGGTCCAACACCAGAGACGTACCATATTACTTGTCACAAAGTGGTGGAGACAGGTGCAAATGCAGGCTTTTAGTTAAACAAAGACAAAACAAGAATCATATGTAGAGCAAAAAAAGAGCTAAGGAAATGTGGCACAGAACACACAACAGGCTATACAAAACAGACACCGACAACTAAGCAAGGAAAACTAAGAACATAAATAGGGACACTAATCAAGGGGAAACACAAAAAATGAGTGCAATCAAGAGGCGATGGGGAGATTTGTAGTAGTCCAATGGGGCCAGTTTCACAGCTGAAACCAATGCATGATGGCCAAAACCTGGAAAATTCCACACAAGTTCAATCCTGACCTTGGATTACTGTCTGTGCTGAGTTTCACATGTTCTCACTGTGTCCACATGGTTCCTCTGGGTTCTCCAGTTTTCTCCAACTTCCCAAAAACAAGTTGGGATATTGGCTATTCTAAATAAGTATGAATTAGGGTGTGTATGTGTGTGCGCATTGTGCCCTCTAATGGACTGGTGTCCCATCTACGAAAAAGGGAAAGGCAGTGGATCCACCGCCACCCTGACCAGTATAAATCGCTGACTGAATATGAATGAATGAATCCATGCAAACTATTGTGGCTATGCTCTTTGGCATGCAAGCCGAAGAGGGATGAGAAAAATGTATTAAAAAATGTATTAAATGTGACAGGCCTCTACTTTAGGTTCATGGGATGGGGAAATTTCGTTTTTCATGATTGGAGATTAGAAGCAATAAAAAGATCAGCAGTAAAAATGAACTGGATGTGCAACAAGAATGCTACACATGATGCCAATCATGGGTCGTGAGAGAGAGAAAGGAAGAGAGAGAGAGGCGGAATAGAAATAAATAAGAACAGAGGAATTTCTCTAAGAGGAATCTAAATGAAGAGTATGTTTAGCAGTAGGTGGCATTTGGAGAATAAATTTCACCATACCTGAATGCGGTATTTGGTATGCCAAGCTTAGCTGCTTGTTTGTAAAAGGAAAAGTGCTGTGTTATTGGGACATCCTGTAACCCTCATGTCCTCTACGACAGAGCCCTAGGACCCCATGTCCCCCTGATTACCAAAAACACGGGCCACTCTCCTTTTATGTTGTCCTGTTTTCTTTTATACTCGGATACCATTTACCATTTTAGTCTTTCGCGTTGTTTCTTGTATGCTTGCATACCCTGAGTCATACTCAGCACTACAATTTCATTGTTGATGTTCTGTGTTAATGCTGCATAAAATGAGCCTCCACTCTCTCTATTGAAAGGAATAGTGCAGAAGTTTTAAAAGCAATCACTGAGTGCCACTCAACACCACTCCTATTGTTATCGACTGAGATATGAGTGTGCCCATAGCTGACTATTTTGTCACACTCAGCTCCCCATGAGACTGTGCAAATGTGCCCCTGCCTTTTCTCAAAGAAAGAGAGAGAGAGAGAGAGAGAGAGAGAGAGAGAAAGCTGGAGAATTGAGCATATATTAGCGACCATTCTCTACAGTCTGCAGTGATTGTATTTTAGACTGAACAAGGCAGTTATTGCATTTCAAAAAGGCAATTTTAACTATTGAAAAAGTTTTAATGTGATGAATGAGTATATCCAGCATTAAAGGATCATAGTTTCTCTGGGATATTATATCTGCTCCAGACTATTGGCTAAACCGCAGGGCCCTTTTTCTAAAACACGACCTTGAGTACCAGCTGAAGGACTGAGAAAAAGTTGGAAGCAGACAAATTTGCCTGTCACTGCTTAAGCAGGTACAGCGGCTTCCAAAAGCAGATTTTCTATAGTGTTTTGTTATAGTCAATTTATAATTGATTTTAGCTTTCGATCTCACTTATTCCCGGGATGCAGCAACAAACACATTGCAAGTTTATTAAATATAAATTTTCAGGTGCTTTATTAAGCATATTGTCAAATCCTCTTTTGAGGCTTTGACTTTTCTCGAGTTGCATCTACAAGCTTTGCACATCAGGATTTGGGTATTTTCTCCAATTTATCCTTGCAGATCACCTAAAGTTCTGTCAGATTGGGTATTTGGATGTCCGTGAACACATTTTCAATTGGGTTCATGTCCGGCTTTGATTGGACCACTCAAAGGCATCCAGTCTATTGTCTGAAAGCCACTCTATTCTTCCCTTGGCTGTGTTCCAAAGCTGACAGTCTACCTTGTGATATCTTCCTGTGGAGTGTATTTTGGATCAGCGTCAGTTTGTTAAAACAGTGTCTTGCACATGAGACTGCAGTTGGAATTGAAAGAATTGTCTTTCCTGGCCAAACTTGCCTGTATAGCAGAAGATTGAAAACTTGAATTCAGTTAATCCGTACCTCTGCTGTGTGTGTCTTATAAAAAAAAAAAAAAAAAGCAAGTTTGTTGTCAACCGTTACATTATATTTACATTTACACATATTTTGTTTTCCTCCTCTGTTTCTTACCACCTTTTGCATATTTTTGCACTGGTCTCACATATTAGCACACATAGCTGAATGCCACTTGCTCTGTTCTTTGTAGGAGACGTCATATTTTCCAATAGAAGTTGCAGAGAATACAGAATTGTCCAATGAAAATCATCAATAGAGATTACTAAAATCATGACTCTGCTTTGTCATTATAGGGATTAAGTGATGTGTACTTAAGTGATGTGTGTACGTGATGTTAAGGTGATGTGTACACTAGGGATGTTACAGATAATGCATCATAAACAGATATACATACAAGGTTTCACAGGGCATCTGCTTGAGACTAGAGGTGTTCAAGACTAGACTAGAGGCAATAAAAAAAGGTTTTTATTTTTGTGCAGGTGCAAGCAAGCAGTCAGATACATAGCTTGTGTGACAAAGAGAGACTACATTAATGGCATTATCCCTTATCCAGGGCGACTTATAATTATCTCATTTCTACAACTGAGCAGTTGAGGGCCTTCCTCAAGGGCCCACCGGTGGCAGTGCTGAGATTTGAACTCACTACCTTTTGAGCAGAAGTCCAACATCTTAACCACTGAGCTACCACATGACATGTGAACATGCAATGCTGCAAGATGCATTTACAGCATCCATAGTAAATTCCTGATCAGCATTGAAGCGGTTGAGATTAGGCTATTGAAACAAAAATAATAACTTCGTGAATGGGACTTAAAAACATTTACATTTACCAATTATGGACCAATTATGAACTTGAGTGATGTAGCTGAGTTTGATGAACTGTAAGAGTCAGAATTCACACACCATGCTCACAGTGATGATATTATTACCTTTGGGTGCTTTCCAGTGTTTCTGGGGATTAGTGGATTACTCTATTAGTAGACTAATACATTAATTAATTGCCTCTATGGGGAGCTGTTGCAGTGGAAACAAACAGTAAGGCACATGGTAAGAATATGCAGGCAAACGGTAAAGAAAGCATGCTAAATGTACTTTGTTAGTCTGAAAATACTACAAACTAGATGAAACCCATTCTACAGTCAACTGCACAAGACCACGCTGGGACAAGTCTTGTTTTTAATATTCTTTTACTTTAATGGACTGTCACCACTTAGATATCACTTTGCATAAAGTGGAGCGTTTATTGTCCTTTAAAGCGAAATAAAAATTTTAAAATAAAATCCTTACTTGGTGGCATAGTGAATTCTGTTGTGACCAGCTCTGTGTGAAAGAATGCTTTTGGACTATGAGGCACTGTGAGTCCAATCCTGTTCAGATAGTTTTGACACAGATTTATTTGCTTTACTTATTAACAGCGTAGCCTAAAAAGCCTTGATTCTGGAAATTTAATTTGTAGTGTATAGCTGTTAACTGAAGTTCAGTTTGACATGTTTCTTTTGCTGCACTGATCAAATAGCACAAAAATACAACCTAAACCTATGGCTATGGTCTTAACTTAAAGCTTTGCCATTGCCATTGTGACTACAGGGTTTTCCACGTTTAAGAAACATAAGGCCTATATGTATATTCTCATCTGTTAAACTTGGGAGCAAAGGAAGGAGGAAAAGTAACAGAATATTCAGAATGAACAGGGTCAAAGCTCTTCATCTTGTTGTTTCACTGGAACGAGAGCTGAAAAAAGAGAAAGGCAAGAAAAAGCAGTCCCCAGAGGGGCATCAAAATGCATTGAGGTCACCAGAATTTATGCTATGAAAATGACTTTCGATGCCTGGCGCACGCGGTCACATTCGTTATCTGCTCCTTTGCATAGCAAATGAAGCATTCTCAATCACTTTCTATTAACATTCACAAAGACTTGCCCACATCCCATACCACTATCACATTCAATCAATTCCCCAACCAAGCATTGTGAAATTAAAATAAATCATTAAATAAGATTTTACGAAATGGCATGCAAACGAGCTTGCCTGATGACCTCAAAAGAGAAAAAATCTTTTTTCAACAAGAACAAATTTAGAAATGAGCATGCTGATGTAAAAGAATGCATATGATAATGAATTAGATAATACTCAAATGACAGGAGTTCACTTGGCTTGCTCCTTATAATAGGTGATTTATACACTCCTCCATCAGCAAACACATTAGTCGGAGTCAATGCTAATGTGGGATCACTATGTCCGCAGGCTGTTCTACACCAGATAACAATCCATGAGATTTATTTCCTTTACATATACCTGGCTTAAGGCTGGGTGCATTGAATGGATAACAAGGTTTATATAAATATATATATATATATATATATATATATATATATACACACACACACACACATACATATTTATATTTATATATTGTCTGTCTGACCTGTATGCCATTAGTACTCAGATTTTCCTTAATGTTCTTATTGATTTGTCATTTGGTTTGCTCATTTCTTTTACAAAGTAAATATACACAGGGTAGATAGAAATAATGAAGCCACCAGGAAATATTTGACTTGGGATGCTTTTAAAATTCAAAACACAGCCAGAACATGTTGGAAAATTGTCAGGGGTCAAACTGGGTTGGAGAGGAAGGGGATTAAGCTCATTTAGCTTTGGTACTGATACTCTGATGCTGTAATTGAATAGAAATGGAAATCATAGCATGCCATAATGGTAGTCATGATATTGCTGTAATAAAGTATCACACTTTTTTGTTGTTGTTGTTGTTGTTGTTTTTATTTTAAAGGATAAAATGTATTCATTCAGTCCAGGCCATTTTAACTGTTGTGCATAACTTATCACCACAGCAAAATGTGTGTATGTTGTTAGTTTCAAGGCTTTGCTGTATCGTGTATTATTGCCAAGAAGCAGATCTGTTGATGCTATTTTAATTCCAAAAACATATGCCCTTATGACACAAACAGAGACATGAAAAAATTTAATATCTAATCACATTTTCATTATATCCAAAGTTGAGACTTTTGAGTCACTTAGAGCCAAAACTGTGTACAGTAGAGCCCAGCTATCATGGTAGCTAACCAAGAGAAGCACATGTTATGATAGGTGGGAAAAGCACTTAAACAGACTAGCTGTATGTAGCCACAGGCCCGCTAGTATTTGGATGGGATGTGTAAGCAGGGAAAGAAACCACATACATGGGGGAAAAATGGCCATATGGACAGAATAAGAGGATATTGGGATATTGGCGGGAACCCAACTTCATCCCCAATGTTTTGTTTTTACCAATTTGGCTAATGCCACAGGCTTATCTATGAGCAGTGTAGTGGTGCTTAGCCACAGGTCTGCTGGTCAGTGAAACGGAGGGCTAAGTGGGAGGAATTGGGGCATGTGGATGGAGACCTCACTTCAGTCCCAGTATTTTATGTCCGCAATCCAGTTATCTCAGCAGGCTAAAGCATGAACAGTGACAGTGACAGTATAGTGACGCTACTATGTTAGCCATTCTTAGACAGATTCCTGAGGAAGACTCAACTCAGCAAAGATGCGAGATATGCCCCTGTATGCATGTTAGCAGAATCTAACCTTTTTCATGCACAATGTCCATACTTAGGGATAGTAAATTTAGGACTATTTTGAGGAGAATATAAGGTATAAATCCCCTCCAAATCACTTTTTTTTTCTGATTTCTCTTGCTGTCGAGAATCAGGGCATCATGTAGCTATATCTTTACAAACTTTCTCCATAAAATCCCCAATTAAGGAATTTGTTACAAAATGTACATTTTGTACATGTCAAGAATATTGCTATATTTTAACTCAAAAAGATATTTTCTTTAATTTTCATCAATTTAAACATTTTAGATTTGAATATTTTTGTATGTAAATACAGTAGATTTTTTTTTTATTTCATGTATTTTATCTTTTTTTTTTTTTACTCATGCTATTCTTGCACATGGACAATCCATTTACCTTTTAAATATAATACATGATATTTCAAAATTAATAAACACCTGACATAATTTTAAGTAATAAAGAATCTGGATTTTTTTTTAAATATTATCTACATGAAAAGTGTTAGGTAACTCACTATATTACTGTGTAAAAGATACACATTAATGATACAAAATATACAAGTTACAGTTATAGTATATAGTAGAGTGCTTATAGTACTTTTTCAGAGTGTACTCAGCAACAAGGACAATTCATAGCTACTCACAGTCAGCACAGTGAGTGATTTCTAAAAAGATTAGAATGTTAATGAGGAAACACAACTGAACCTAGCAGCCACAGACTTCCAAATGGACTCTGAAAGTATGAAAAATTACACTCACCACGGCCGAATAGAAGACTGCAGATGATAAGAGATAATAGGAGTCTTTTACCAGCTTTGGAGGAAAGGGTATCTGTAGCTCTGACTATAGTCTCAGGCTGTTCCATGGATAGCTCCATAAGGTGTACACGAGGTTCAATATGTGTACGAGGCAAGAACAAAGCAGGGAAAGATGGCTGCATGTCAACAGTATTTGTAGCAAATTCTATGTTATATCGTAACTTTGCTAGAAGGGTTTCAGCATCCAGGTGATATTCATCTTCTCTAGCGGTTAGGAAGACTGAAACAGAACCAGTATTTCTCCTCCTATTGTTTGTTCATCTCAGCTGCTGCACAAGGTAAGTAAGTTTCACAATATAGGTTGTTGAAAATAGGGTCATATTTTAGAACTGTATGATCTGTGTATATTTGTTGCCTGAGTATGTTTAGTTTAGTACATAGGCTATGTATTGTGTTAAATCTGTGTGGGGTGCTCAAGAGTTTTGCCTGTGATATCCCATTGCATTCATAGAAACAGAGAAAATTCCCAAGCTGTTCATTCCAGATGGTCATACTCTCTGCGCTGTTTACTCAGCGCATATGGTAGATGTCCAGATTCATTACATCTATAAGCATAGTCTCGGTTCATTATTCCTTAACAGACCAATGTTAATTCTGATTTACACTTTGCATGTATTTCAGTAGTGTGACGTACAATGAAAATACAATGATTTACTAAACCATCAAGTCTTTCTACACAGATGATAGTCAAATACATGTCTTGGTAAAGTTCTTGTTTCAGGACGGTGTAGTAAGCAGCGATTCCTGAATCATGATAAGTGTACTGCTTTGTATAACCCACTAACCCATAATCATAGCCTTCTAGGAGCAATACTGTCAAAATTGTATCAACATGCGCACATATTTCTTGCAAAAGATTCACTTTATTCCTCTTGAAATTCAAACCATTGTGTCTGAACGACATTTCCTCATAGGTCTGTATGCTTCTAAAGTGTCACAGCAATATGGAAAGGATATTGAAATCTTTCAGGGTGATGCTTTCTTGTACGAAGCACCTGAATCCCAAAAGCGCATCAAAATTACATTCATAACTGTATTCATCTGCAGACCTGCCAAACCCGAAGAGGAATAATGCATAGATGCCTTGAGGGGATTGGTGCGTAGGGATGTTGGTGTTTAATAATGGAGTACTTTTTCAATATAGTCCTTTTAAACATCACTTGTCTAAGCTAGAGACTTCAGACAAGCGATGTGTGTATAGCGGCCTGGTCACATCGCTAATTCATACATACTTTACAAAAAGACCATTCCCAGGGTTTTACAGTAACCACCAGGTGATCAGGGGGAAAAAAAGGTTCCTGCTCATCTGTTTGAGTTAAAATACAGACACAAGAAAATTTTACATCTACACTTTCTTTTTAATTACTGTACGTAACATCTTCTTCCTAGAATGCTTCCTAGAATTCTTTCAGCTAAAAGATTTACTGACATTCCTAATAAATATTGTTGACTGATGTGAGCTATCTTTTTGTCTATGATCTTATGAACTCAAAACATTCTCCATTTATTGCAGTAGAAAGCAAGGTCACATCTTTCAAGGGAGAAAATCAAGACTAGAGAAGCAGCCGAAAGGGGGAAAGGGGGTGGGGCTTCTGGGGGTCAGTTAATATTGGAGATTTCAAAACATCTGCACATAACATTCCAGATTCATATGTCGATTGGCTCATCTGCTGGTTTTACTGAGGAAAAAAGAAGACTCATTTGGTGTACTTCTGAGTGAGTAGTGTATTCTGATGTTAAATTGAGGAGCTCTCATGCAAAATGCTGAGAAAGTTCTCAGAGTTCCTGAGAAAATTCCTCTGAATGTGCTGTTTCCTGGAAATGTTTTTGTTGTTGTTGTTGTTTTTTGGTGTCCTCCTGTCTTTTTGGAGGGCTGCAAGGTATGCTTGCTATAACCGATCTATGCATTGCCACCTCCCTCGATCTTGAAAAAGCACCTTTTTAACGCACCATTCTTTATGCTGTTACCAGAGGAAATGACGTCACTGGAGTGTTACAAGGCTGAATCGAGGTGTTTGGTGTCAACAAAGGAGAACTTGTGATGAAATGAAATGAACAATACATGGATAAAGACGGAAAGGTCTTTTCAAGTCAGGTCTTTTCCATTCAACACATTACCCGTGGTATTATCAGTTGTTGTTTTCATTTCAGTAAACTTTGAGACAGAGCTAGATATAAAGCTTAGCATGTAATGTGTAAAATGTAGCATGTGCGCTCTGCTTCACGTTTGCTGTTTCAGATAACCCATCTCGACCAAAATTCCTGTCCTCGTATCACTCCTTGATCTATTCCCATGCCCTTTGATAACCTGTACCCAATGATAAACAGTCAATCTGAACATTCAATAGGCCATCGAGGAAGCAAGGCTGACATTCATACAGGCTCTAGAGGTACTTGTTTTGTTTGCAGACATGTCGTTTGTTATTGGTGCAGTCGTTTAAACGAAAGGCCGAGCAAAAGGATGATTGGATTGCTTTGTGCTTTCATTACCCTCTCAATAGATCAATGTTGGTCCTTTATTTTTGTCTTTCTCCGTGTGCCATGCTGACTAGCTAAATTGCCTCTCCTAAAGGTTATAAAGGAACCCTATGATTAAATGGCAATAGGATTTTTTTTCCTCTCTTTATTTATGAATTGTTGCAGCATAGCAGAAGTGGTATCAATCAGGTAATACTGTTCAGCTTGATGAGTTCCTTTATGAAACAGTCTTCTCTCATTTGTGTGAATTAATGCTTCAGTCACTAATGAATGAGAAATAGGGCTCAAGAGTAGAAAAGTGGAGAGGTATTAGGTGATGATTTTATCCATTTCAGATTTAGAAAGACGTGTTGTTGTATGCACAGCTAACAGTAAACACTGTTCGATAAGTTAGTGGTATTAAAAAGGTTCTCGATTATGCTTTCAGTTTTGTTGGTAAAATACTAAGCTGCGCTTTTCTGTGTGTGTGTGTGTGTGTAATAAAGTGTATATTAAAACATTTGCAGAACCCCAGAATTCCTAGCATTCCAAAAAAGGTTATACTAGCTTATGTTGTACATTTCAATTTTAATCATGGTCAATTGTTTGAAGGTTCTTAAAGTTCTTAAGGTTCTTCATAGCTAGGTATATATTTCATTTGTTCATTCATTCATCTTCAGCAAGAGTGGATAAACTCCGGATCCAACATGAACCTGACCAGAATAAAGTGTTTCAATGAAGGTGAATGAATGAATATATGACACTGGTAGTGCAAACACAGATACAGCCATATTCTCTGTTAATCCTGACATGACAGTGTTACTCTGTTAATAATACTCCAGCAGGGATTTAAACACAGTAAGGAGTCAGTGATAAATAAACAGCCCCTACCTGCTGGACCATATGAATATCATATTTAGAGTAATCAGCCTGCATGCCTAAGCTGATTTTGAAAAACATACGGCATTTGTTCCTCTTCGGTTGAGGATTTTGGGAAAATCTGGATTTTGCAGATGTTACTTAATTGCCTTAATTTAATTTTATTTCCCTTTTATAGCTATAGACAGAAGAGACAAATAGAGGGAGATGAGAAAGAAAAGGCTTTGATGGGTTTAGAGAAATGGGGATTTGAGGTAGCAGGGTACTAGCAGCAGTTACTTCGGCAGAACCAACTGAGATGTCAGCAAATATGCTGTAAAGAACATTGACTTAATCTGGGAACAAGCCTGCATAATACGTCATCTTACCAAGTCTTAGTGACCCTGTGTGCTTTCTAACTGCAGCTGATATGAAGCTACCTGAAGATCCACTCCACAACGTTTTCATCCCATATCCATTTTAACAAAGAATGTTATCACAGTGTTCAGTACTGTATTCAACAGTTGTTGAGAGGGCCAGGCTGTAATGTCACAAAACTAATAATCCAGATGTTAATAATGTTAATGAAAATGTATGCAAATGAACTAATGGTTGGCTTGAGTGTTCTCTGAACGTGTGTCAGAATGATCCAACATCTTATTTGAAAGGTATTTCCTATTTCATTCATAAGCATTGCAAAGATCTTTAATTTCTGAATCACTTCTGAGAAGAAGGCAGGTAGGCTGTTCTGTGAATTTTTGTACTCAGCAGGAGATACCACTACCAGTAGTAGTTTAAAGCTATTATAACATACAGTATATACATTACATTTACGGCATTTGGCAAACGCCAAGTCCAGAGTGACTTATAATAGTGCTTTGAAGTCTATAATAAATACATTCTGATATTGGCTCACTAGGTCACAAACTAGGAATACCTATATATATATATATATATATATATATATATATATATATATATATATATATATATATATATATATATATATATATATATATATATATATATATAGGAATACTAGGAATGTGTATATAGTCACATAGGGCCAAAAAATGTGTGATTACAATTTTTACCTAGTAAGTACACTTCCAGCTGTCTATTCTGCTCATACTGGCATAGGATATTGTTTCCCATTTTGAACCCTGTATTGGAAACTCCATGACAGCACAGACTGTATAATAGACAACTGTCTCTATTTTTCAACTCTGTGATCACCAGATTTCATTAACTGGTTAATGTTTACTTATCTAATGTACATTAGCTGAAAGCAAAGACAGGGAAATCATGAAACAATTCACCAACAGCCACATAAACAGAAGAGTCACTCTGTTATCTAATGGACTCTGTATGTCTGATTCTGTTATACTGTATATGTCTGATTTTGCATGCATTTGAGGGCCATTGCTGTAAATTGAACAGTAATTTACTGGCAACGATAAATTACTGTAAAAAAAAAAAAATACAGTAAACAACTTTAAACATATTTAGAGTAAAGTACTGTAATATCATATTTTATAATATTACATATTATAAAATAATGCATAATCAAATACATTTGGCTGACACTTTTTTTTAAAAGTTGCAATACAACTGAGCTGAAAGTTAAGCATCTTTCTCAAGGAACCAAGCATGGCAGTTTGGCACTACTGGGATTTGAACCCAGGCCTTCTGATCTGTAATGCAAAGCCTTAATCACTGAGTCACCACAACTAGCTCAACTAGCTTACAGTGATTCAACCACATTTACATTTATGGCATTTGGTAGATGCCCTTATTCAGAGCGACTTACAATTATCTCATTTATACGACTGAGCAGTTGAGGGTTAAGGGCCTTGCTCAAGGGCCCAGCAGTGGCAGTGCTGGGATTTGAACTCTCAACCTTCCTTCAGATCACATCTTCCACTGAGTTAACTCACACTAAAAGATTGCAATGAATCATTGCAATGCCTTGCCCTAGTTGTGGTGGCTGAGTGGTTAAGGCTTTGCTTTAGAAAGCTAAAGGTTGTCTGTTCAAATTGCAGCATTGCCTAGCCGGTTGTGTCTTTGAGTAAAACCTCCAACCTTTGAATTTTCTTTAAAGCATCAACCATATGAGCGAATGTACTGGATTATGTGTTATTTTATGCTATGTAAGATATTACAATACTTTACTGTAAGTATGTTTACAGTTGTTTACTGTAAAGGTTTTGCAGTTCTTTGTTAGCAACCCTGTTACTATAGAATTTACAGTCAGTTTTTTTTACAGTGGAGTTTTACACTTTATAGGCTGTAACTGCTAAACTGTGACTATATCTGATTTTGTGTGCATTTGTTTGAAGGAGCATTTTTGCACTTTTACACGGATGTGCACCTTTTGTTCCAAATTAATGTCAAGAAAGAAAGTTATTTCATGAAATTATTCAGGAAGAGAAAGAGAAGTTGAAAAGATGAATCTGTCTACAATAACATAACAGGTTTGACAAGACGAATGTGTTTAAAAATGAATTTATTTGGATGTACATTTTAATAAAAGACACTTGTTTAGAAAACACTACTTACATATCACATGTTTAATGCAATCATGCCAGGAACTTCTCGTATGTGATGCGTGTAGCCTCTCGTGTCAGACGAGTCGTTTTCATCAACAGCAGCCTTTAAAATAATATTAATAGAAATTCCTGCGCTACCATTGTTGCCCCCCTGGGCTCCCTTTGTGCCCCCCCTGGGCCCCTCTTCTTTAAAGATGGTCTAGACATGCTACTGAATATATCTATACACAAAGTGAAAATATTTTCAGAAAGTAGCTCTCCTGTTGATCTCAGAGGCAGTAACAGGGGCAGCAGAGCCATTGTGGAACTCAATTAATCTTGTTTTTTTTTTTAATGAAGAAAAACAAAATGTGTTTTATAAAAGCCCACTATTTCCAGATAAACCAGCTTCCTTTTCATTTTACAACAAGGTCAGAAATTGCATTAAAGTAATTCTATCTTGTAAAATAAATTCAAAGCACAACATCCAATACTTTTATATAGTAAATTATTGGTACATTTCCTTCAGTTTCCTGTGCAGTCAGAGTGATGGCCAAAGCAAAGTGGAAAGGAAGAAAACTTTTCTAGGAAGAAAACTTCCTTGAATTAACTTTTCTGTTGAAAACAGAGTTGTTGAAGGTCTCTAAGGCCTCTAAATGACACTGAGTCAGAAGGAATTTCCTAAGAAAGTCTCAGCAGGAAGCGTTATGGTTCTGAAATTCTATGAAGAGCGCGTTTCTGCGTCATCACTTGCTTTTAGCAGTTGTTAAATGTATTTAATTTCCTGTTGATACAACTTAAGTACCCTTGTGCTGATCCTACTGTAATATTGTTCAAACATCAAGTTTCTCCTTGGGCAGTTTTCCGATGTGCTAGGCCCAATTACCACATGATTTTCCATCTGTGACGCTCAAATGGTTATCGGCCAGAAAACAACCCACATATATTTGTCAACTGAGAGAATGACTAACAGTGCGCTTTTCCACTTGCGGCATCTTTGATGTTGATTCACAGCCTTTGTAAAATTGCAATAATAAGTGTTATTTCCTATCAGTGGTATAATGAAGCTAAATTGGACAGTGTCAATAAAATCATATTTAGTGTTATGAGTTCTGTGCTGCAGTCTCTCCACAAATGGCAATAAAGCAAATGACGTCCGTGTAATAATCTTTCCGTAGTGTATGAATACAGCTGGGATTTTGTCTGTTCAAAGGCCTTCGTCATTCTTTAGTTCTATGTTAATGGAAATTGGGACAGGATGTGAGCCAATGGGTATTCGGGATTCAAGGAAAACATGATGTAATTTTACACAAGACACAGAAAGCTAATATCACGACTGGCACATGAGCAATTAAAAGCACTGCAGGTGCTGAATTCAGCCATTGATCTTATAGCTTCTCAAATCCACTGTTCCTCTGCATTGCAGTCCTACAGTTACAAATTGCTCTTGGCTGCAATTATAACAGCAAAGACAACCATAATTTATGGATTAAACTTTCTATTAGCGAGTATACCTCATCGACAGCTTTGACTTATAAAAGATTCTCTTCCTGTGCAAGCTGTAATAGACAAGATGACTTATATGCTGAGGATTGTACATTACTTATACCACAGCACAGCTGAATATTCAAATCTGATTGGTCCAGGAGGTGTGCATTATTTTTGTATAACAGCACCATTTGTCCCGGCTGTAACGTGAACAATATTGGTTAATATTGATGCACTCGTTGTAATACATTATTGTTTCTGTAGTAACAGCTCATACACAGGGATTTATAGGGCAGACACACCACATAATCGAAGACTAATAATAAATGGATTTAAAAATATGTTGCTTAACAAAGTAATTCTTATCATCATTGATGAACAGGTATTGTTAGGAGATATTCATTTAACATTTATGGAAGGAGTCTCGGTTGTAAGTGCTCGATTATGCTTTCTGTTTTCTCTGTAAAATGCCAGGCTGCACTTTTAAGTATGTGTGTGTGTGTGTGTGTGTGTCTGAGTGCGTGTGAGAGAGAGAGAGGCTGGTGAAGAATGACTGTTTATTGCAGCTATAACATAGGTGAGAACAGGAACAAGAACTTGTCTCTCAGATGTTCCACAACATTAAATCTAACTATAAACTGTTAAAATAAATTAAAGATTGTAATCGTTTGCAAATTGCTGCAGGATAAGTAAGAAATTAGACACTCCAGACCATGTTGTTCTATAAAAATAATGTACTACAGGGGGGTAGTGGCACTCTGCTTGCGCATTGTACCACATCACCGCCAAGTATATAAACATATATCTGGTCTTTGGCAACGTTGTTTTCTTCTAGTGTTCTTCAGTGATGTCCTTTGCTTTCCTTAAGCCTTGTGTTGTCTTAGGGGCCAAAAATGACCTGCCACTGTGTTTACCAGCCGAGAAAGAGAGTGGTGTCCACTGCTTAAATGCAGACTTTCTGCACTGTGAAGAGGGAAAACCCAGATATTCACAAAGATTCTGATCAATGACATTGTTTCTTCATGAAAAATAGATTTGGGGTTTAAAATTCAATGAAGCCATTTTATTTTAAGAGGTTAGTGAAGGCTGGTCATTTTTGACCCTTAGGACAAAGGGAGTAGACATAATGTTAGGATCACACAAGGGTTAAGCCTCAAGTCTAGATTCTTCATGCAGAGAAAAAGAGAGTCTCCTTGCATGGTCAAAAAACTTTATGTCCGATTATGCAGCAGTGAAGTCAGCAATATCAGCTCACATTCTCATTAGCTTCTCACAATATCAATTTAAAAGTGCTGCATCAATAAATCACTGCTCAGGGATATTACCTGAGTAGTGAAAGCATTGAATTGATTTAGATAAACGGGTCAAATTGAGAACCAGGATGTGAGAGGAATGAAAATGCAAATGTATCAAAGTAAAGCTTTTTAATCCCTTTGCTGCTAACCTGCAAGACGGGATACTACGCCTGTTCGACTCAAGAGCGGAATTCACCCGCTTGAGAATAAACAGTGAAAATGAAATTTAAATGTCGGAAAAAAGTGAGTATGTGCTTGGGGGCAGATTAATGAAACTGTCAGTTACTTAGAGAAAAGAAGCATTAATCCCTTAGCAGCAGTGCCTCTCCGGTCCAACAGTGAGGAGATGAAGTGAGGCATCTAGGTGCTCAGGATTCAATTAACCCTTTCATGCATAAATTGTTTATAAGCATATGCAGATTCTTTAGACTGCATGAAGTATGAAGTTTTACTCTGTCTAAATATTACTTATATTAAAAAGTAAATGGATTGTTCATGTGTAGGAATACCATGAGTAAGAAGGCATAAAATATTTTACTTGAAATAATAAAAATAAAATAAATAAATAAAAACCTTCCAATGTCCAAAAATAGTTAATGTTCAGTTCTTAAACTGAAATAGTTCAGTTCTTAAATATTTAACAAAACTATTGAAAATATAATTTCTGGAAATCCAAAATTTAAAACCAGTTTAGGACTGTTACATGACACAAGAAGGTAAAAAAAAAAAAAAAAAAATCTTAACCCTTTCATGCATGAATTATGAGAACCTCAGTCAAGATTTTTTTCCTGAGTGTTTTTATTCCTCTCTAGGCATGATAAAACAATGCAACTGATTTTTTTTTTTTTTATGAACCTATTTTTCATGGAGTTACAAATCTGTCCACTCAGGTGGACACCATGCGTTTGACTTTTTAACCAAAGAAATATGTATTTAACAAACCAATAGCAGAAAATGATATACTGTGTGAAAACTATGAAATAAAAACATTTTTAATGGTGCTAATCTTGTGTTTTCTTGTGTGTTAACATATTCTAATATGTTTAAAAGCAATGCAAAAATGTTAAATCTAGCCCCAGCGGAATTTCTACGATTTTCTAAAAAAACGACAGAAATATTGTTCATTGCTCTACAAGCTCTTTCTCTCAGAAAAGCAGCACAGTCTTTTCAGTATTACTGCTGTTTACAATAGTTTAGTTCAGTCTGACTTCAAGGAAATATAAACATGGACACTATGCATGTAAGGAGAACATTCCCTTAATGGTAGATCATTTACATCAAAACTCTCATCGGCGGTCGTTGTCAAACCTCTCATTATCATTAAGGGGTTACATTATTAACCTCTTAAAGTTGCAGGACAGGTCAGTGGGTTCAGAGTAGCATTCAAATCTCATATTTAGACACATTTTCTATTAGTGTT